GGTTCAGCCCGTTTGCAGAAGGAAAAATTAAAGCGGTGCTGTGGTTCTCAGGACAGAAGAGACGGCTGAACAACTCAACCCCTGCAACAAGGGACGCTGCAGCCGAGTAGCAAAAAAGGCCCTAAAACCAGATGAGAAAAGTGGGGACGAGATGGTGTTTCTTGTAGGTAGGCATGCATGTTAGTCTTTTGCGGGCAGTGATCTGGAAAAAAAACCCATCTCACAACAGGTTCTCATTAGTGGAAGAATATTTCCTATGGGTGAACATTTTGCCCATGTACAAAGTGCTCCCCCCCGCCGAAGGGCCGCCCATCTGCCCAGCTGGCAAGTGAACAGCACGGAGGAGGAAACCTCTTTCATGTCTTAGCATACCTGGAATAGCCCATAGGGTCTAACATGTCAGGAAAAAATTAATACACAACCCCAGCAAATAGCATTAATAAGGCAACACATAGACTTTGAAGCCTACTAGAGACCACTGAACCGCATGCAACGCACCCAAGTTGGCTTTGCCCCCGGCCGCAGCGTGATGCTACTGAGGCCCCGCTGCCGAGCGGCTGCCACCCCGCAGGCGTTGCTGCCTCACCTTCCCCCCCCGCCCCCCCACGAGGTACGCGCGACGGGGAGGCGGTAGCCACGTTGGGAAGGGCTGGAGACTGCTCTCCGCTGACCCTCCTGCCCTGGTGCCTTGGCGTTCACTCAGGTCTCCCAGGATACTGCTGATCAACGCGCTGAGCCACCCCTGTTCGCGTGACACCTGGGCCCCACCGCAGCTTGGGCATCACCTAGTGGAACAGAGCAACGGGAGGAGGCTGTCTTTGAGGTGGGAAAGGGAGATTTTTGGGAGGAGAGGAGCGCGGATGGGCAGCTTTCAGCTCCCAGGGTGCACAGTGCTCACCACAGGCTGCATCCCTCGTCTCGCCTCGCTGTACTTACAGAAAAAAAAGGAAAATTACATGTGCAGGAGAAGGTGACTCTCGGGGGTTCCCTGAGAACGACTCTGAGCTCCACGTCGTGACCAGGCTCCTCAGGATCTTCACAGGCTGGAGTTGCATTTGCCTCCCACGTGCTATTTCTTCAGTTACTGTCTATCCCTCCCCGTGTCATGAACTCCGTATGTCACCCAGCCTGCTGAGATGCATTTGTGTATGTTGAGTAGGAGGCTGATGGCAGGTGAAAGAAAAAGCTTTAGCCTGATGTAGTATTTAGAAGCGTCAGCGAGTACAGTGAAATTTATGGATATCAGGCAGCTTTGAATTTTTTTTTAACTCTTACTCCTGATAATTTGCTCTAAGCATTATAGTTCAAGCACACATGGACATGTACACCAAGGATCCCAACAGCAATTACTCATTTATGTGAAACGTGAGAGTTGCTGCTTGTAAGATTGCAAACAATTTTCTATGTAGCGTTGCCCAAGCAATTATCTTTCTTAACAGCCGGCGGAGAGGCCTGACACGTCCTATGCAAGGTGCAGGAATGGAGCTGGGGCGTTTAAGCATTTAAATCTTGTAGGCACTAAACCTCTACCTTTCAGTGGTCCTGCACTTACTGAGGGTTGCGCTCCCTGGGTAAATGCGTGAGCTCCTGGCTCACAAATGGAGCAACATGATGAGCTCTCCGGTGAATTAAAATAATTTAGTTTTCTAACTTGTCCCTAGACTCTGCTAAATCTGCTGGGGGCTTGAGAAAGATGTGAAGTTTTTCCACGTCTTCTGTTTATGTAGGCAGATATGTTAAGTTATAAAACAAACAATTCTGTATCTAAACATCACAAAGGAAAATTCCACCCTGGGACAGAGATGTCTTGGGGTGCACAGGATTAACTGCACTGAACAGCTCTGCCGCATTAGAGACCATAGCCATGTGGGACAACTCTCATCATTTTCTGGGCATCAAAATTATTCTGCCTCATGGCAATACCCAAGGTCTCCCATCCAAGAAGACTAAGTGGGAATATAAAGGAAATTTCCTCCCTTTTCAAGAGGAAAATGCAAAGGCAACAGCTTTGAACCACCTAAAACAGTAACATCAAACCGGGTCGAAACAATCTTTCCTAGCGGGACTGCAAAACCGCCAGCTCAGCGTGCTGGTTGGAGCCCGGCCGGCTGCTGCTGAAGGGCTGGTAGCGGGCTGTAAACTCCTGTAAGGGACAAAGGCTCTTGAGATCACATTTCAGGATCCATTGGCCGATTTTAACCAACGTCAGCCCTGTTGTGGGACCATTTGAGTAACACTGGACAGGGAGGTTAGGGCCCGTAAATTAAAAGGTTGGGCTTTATCTTTAGCTGGGGTGAACAGATGAAGAACAGCAAGTCTGAACACTGGATGGTATGGCTGTTTTTTCTTTAATGCTTGAACATTCCTAGAAGCTGACCTGTTACATGAAACGTACAAATTGCCTTTTAGAATGAGAAACAGATGCTTGAGGGAAATACAAAAATTAAGGGTAAATACAACTGTACTTACAAAAAAGATGCCCTAGTTTTAAAACTTAGCAAATTAGGAGTAAATGACACCAAATATACATTGCTTTCCTTATTTGAAGGAACTGGACAAGAAATAATCTTGTTCGGGAGTCGTCTGGTATATACACATATAGTGACGTCCCACAGAACCCTGTGGTGTCAGAGTCAACACAAATAGCGGGTGCTGCTCCACGACTTGGACCTTCGTTTGGCATCTTAATAAATAATAATAATAATAATAAAGCAATACAACATTCATTACATATTATGTTACAAATGAGGTCAAAAGTGCATATATTCTATTTAATTACAATAAGATGAAACAAGCTCAAATGTACCAAGAATCCTAGAGGGTTTTGTTTCGCACAAATGAAAATTTCAGAAAGGTTTAAAATAACAGGAACAGAAATAAAAGGCTTGACAAAGCTTTCTTCTGCACGGTGACAAGCTCGTACTTTCCACAGGAGTGCATGAAGGAGCATTACCTTTTTGTTCCCCAATCTTCATTTACAATTAGATTGACATTCACACCCTGGCAGCTTTTGGTCTTCTAAGACCAAAGAGCATCACATAAAATTTTTAAAATTAAAAACTGAAAAAAAAAAGTAACTCAGAAGAAAGTAATATGAGATGTAGCTAAAATACCATGTTCTGCAAAAATAAAACATGAGCCAATTATTTTGCTACAGTGGACTAGCTTCATTAATTTCAGCTATGCGACTTTAAACCAGCTTGAGAACTTGCCTTTAAATAATTTGCACTTCTGTCCAGGCCATACTCAGGCAGCTGCAATGTCACCTAAATCCTGTGCCTAGTATTTTCTATGGGGTGGTTTTAGGTAGTTTTCAGCTGCACTGAAATTCTCCCAGTTGCTCTTCAGACTTCCAGACTATTGGACTAGGGATTAAATCTGGGTGTTTGAACCACTCCGAACAGTAAAGGTACCCGTGGGTTGTGGTGCATGGAGGTCTAACTCAGGATGTTTAAGAAACAGTGTGCAAACGGCCCTAGAGAAACAACGAGCTAACTCTCTCTTGGCCTTCTGAGGGATGCTTGAGCTAGTTCCCGTTGCTGCCTGCTTAAAAGTGATACCCAGCAAGAGATATTAATCAGTAAATATCAAATCAAGTCACAATTTTTATTTTTCTAATGGTGACTGTTACTCAGAAATTCACACAAATCCTTTAGTCTGACTGGCCTTTAGAGCAGTAAATCTACAATTAAATGATACAGTCAAATGCAAAAACTTTTGCAGCCTACCTCAACGATAAAACACACTTTCTTTTTGTTCTTAGTTCTACTTGATTTTCTTTTCTCTACTATCAAGCCCAGCCTGGGATTTATTCCACACGCAGAACTACCACTTGCTCAATGGCACACCGTGTGTGTGGAAGAGCTGAAAGAACAGGGCTTCAGAGAGATTTTAGCTTTACAGGGAAGAATCAAAAAACCAAGAAATAAAAAGAAAGGAAAATATCCCAATTGTCTTAGTTATATTATTGGTTATATAACCAATCTCTACTGTTCTATTTATGATCCTATAAATAAGAGAATTGCCCTGAAAGAGTGGCCTACAAAATGACAGACAGAGTCAGGACACCGCAACTGTGCCCTCTTCGTTGCAAGGAGGTGCAGAGGTGCGTGGCACTCAGCACGGGGAGGAGGACATCTGGTCATAGTCGGGGCACTTGAGCAGCGCTGGGTAGTTACTGTTCATCTGCAGGGACGCCTCGCTGGAGATATCTGAAGGGCTGCGTCCACGTACCCACGCATCTGGGTGCAAGAACTGCCCGGAGTAATCGGAGCAGTTGCTCAGGCGGGGACGGTAGAAGCTGGGGTGAGGGCGGTATATGTCCTCAGCGGTGTATCTTTTCATGAACAAGTAGACAGACATCACGCCAGCACTCTGGAGAGGAGAGAGAGACACCGCCGGCTACTCACTGCACCGCTGCCTGCCTCCTCCACAAACACCAGCACGGCAAAGAAAGGTTGTTTTTTTTTGCTCTGCTGGTGAGTCACAAGGATGCCTGAGGCAAGTCCCTTCACGCCCCTATGCTCCTGGGACCCTACAATAAATACCATCGAGTAACACCACCTCCTCCTCGATTCAAGCGCTGGTCAAATGATTTGCCCCGTCAGCGCTCCAGGCTTGGGTCTCTTTGTCATCCCACTATACGTGCCTCCCACCATGCTATACATCACTCATCTGACCTCAGGGTCTGCCTTTAAAACCCATCACGGCCCTCTTTTTCTTTACAGCCTCTTGACAAGGCCTACACTTGTGCCCAGCACCCGAGAACAGAATATGTTACAGGCACGTCACAGAGCTCACAGCTGGCCAGTACCTCTGTGAGAAGGAACGAGATAGCAGAGAATGCAAATGACCATCCATATTTGTAATTGAAGAAAGTTTCAGAGTCCTTGGTCCTGTTGAGCATCTCGTCATTAATGCTGGAGATGTACAGAACCAGTCCCACCACCAGCGACAGACCTGAGGAGACACAAGGGAGAAAGGCAGCAGTAAACGCTTTAGGTGCAAAGCAGTTCAAGGAGCACCCTCCTTTAAGGCCAAACTGGCAGGTGAAAATGCAAACAGGTGGGCTGCGCTTGAAATAACTGGGGAAACAGGCTGCTCCCTACCGAACTAAGCCAGGGCACTTATGTCACTTCAGTTGAACCATTATGTTCTTAAGCAAGTTCCTCTGAACTGTGCACTGCGTAGGAGCCTGCTTCAAAGCTCAGCTGTCACAGCTATTTGTTTAACGCTATGATAACGCCATGAATAAAACATTCACTTGTCTGATGTAGACATATCCTGGCTGATTATTTTGAGGTTTCAGATATCTCCTGTGACCGACTTACCGTGAGAAGGAAGTGTCCTCTCCCCACCCCGCATTCACAGGAGCTGCTCCTGGGGGAATAACTGCGGGTGCTTTTCCTCCTGCCTCCTTGTGGCACGGTTGCCTTGAGCAAGTCTTGCTAGTGGGCAAGCGGTGATATTGCAAACCAGCGCAGCCGGGGGTCACGCCGGGAGCCCCCCAGGCAGGCACCAGCTTGAGTGAGGAGCCAAAGCAGTGGGCTATGAGAGCACTGAAAAGCACCAACATCTCCTATGGTCAAGAATTTGCTGCTTCTTTCTAATTAGATGTAGTGCACAGGATGTGATATTAATATTTCCATTTTGTCTAGCAGGGCTTGCATCCCTGAGGCCAGCGCTCACCAGCTTGTCACAACAGCCAGCCCCAGGCACCTCATCGCAGTGCCCATGTAGGGGTAGGCGCTTGAGCTCGAGGCAAAGAAGATTTTGACAAATGCCTAATTACCCTTCCCCCTCCAAAAACAATAAAAAAAAAACCATTTTCACATGAATGGCCTCAAACTCACAATGCCATTTTTCAGTATTGCTGGCAGCCCTTCCCCAGTGCGCCATTACATTGCTGCTCTCAGTAGCGAATTCTGCATATAAAACTACTGCGCAAATCTGGTTCACATTTCAGTTGTGCCACATGGACTACTGTTACCTGTGGCACCAGTTTTACCCGTGGATTAGAGTAAATTGAAACATAATATTCACATTCAAAATATATTCATGTTTATGAATGATAATATTCATAAAAATATAGTTTATGGCAAACATCCAAATGATTGGGGTTTCATGACCCTCCACTACACCACAGAGAAGCTTGCGGTAAAACCTGACAAACGTGTGATCGAGGGGAATTTTTGCTGACAAAACTTACCAGACAGGATGAAGAATATTCCAGACACGAAGGCGAGGATGGTCCTGTGAGGCCGAATGTGGCCGATGTTGCTCAGTATAAAACCAATGAACATGAAAAAGAGGCTGACCAAAGGGAAAGGGGTAGCAGAACGAATCATCTCTGGTTGGGAGAGGAGGAGAAGAAAGCGCGATAGGTTAGTCCTCCCCCCAGCTGGAGAGACGGCTCCACCTGCCCTGCTCTGCTACTGCCTTGTCCTTCTTCGCTCCCTGCTCCTGCTATGCGGCTCCCCGGCCCTTGCAAGGGTCCCCCTCTCCTCAGGTGTCTTTGCTAACCAGGTGCAATTCTGCAGAAACATCTGTTAATGTTTGCATTTCCGAGGTTTCCACGTGAAGCGTTACATGGGGGAAAAAAACCCACCCGTTGGAACCCGTGTTTTTCCCCAGCAGAGGTGCCGAACTGTTTACTCGTGACTTTTACTTGTTAAATCAAAAATGACTACAGAACTTACAGTGAGAGCTGTGACGCTCCGTCTTTAACTCATCCCATTGGGTAACGTGTAAAACTGACCGCTGCAGAAGAAATACTGCTGCAAATTACTGAGAGGAGAACATAAAGCCAAATGCTTCAATAAACACATGCGCTGAATAGGCAGTGCAAGGAAATGGTACTGTTTACAGCCTCTGTGAGCTTCCTGCCATTAGAAAAAGATGCTTAGAGCACATCAGATGATTCACACACTAAAAAATGTAGTTGCATCTTGGTGAAGTAGCACCCCCAGTGAAGCAGGAGCTTTTGGGGGGATCCCTAGTGACCTGTTGTGCTTTGCAAGCTGCAAAGAATAAGACCCCATGAAAGAACACCTACTCAGGACGTTGATTGTCGATTCAGACGTCAGCTGGACGTTCATGGGCATGACGTATTCTATAGTGAAGCACCGGCCACGCTCTTCACCTGCAGGAAACAGACTGATTCGTTCCCGCAATTTAATTGCAGTATTTTATTTGGGAGTGTGTGAGTATGTGTGAAAAGTGGCTTTAAAATTAATTCCATAATTTTATGCATGCATGCATAAAAACAATCTTGCTTTTTAGGTACATGCATAAAAACAATCTTGCTTTTTAGCACTGCTTCTATCTGGAAGAATATATCTGTAAACTACAATCTCATTGAGAGATCAGCTTTTAAAATGTCCCTGCTGAAAGAACGACAGCTGGCTGAACAGACAGGAAGGAGGCCAGGGTTTTGCTCAGAAATATTTCAGCTCAATCAATACAGTGCTGGTCATTCAGTACATTTTTGTGGGAATACTGAAAAGGAGAAATAACAGGTTCCAAGATGGGAACGGCAGATAAAATCCTCTCATTCTCAGACTACTCTTTTCAATGAATTTGGCATGAGCAATTGCTCTTTTGAATCGGAGAGCTCCAGATCTCCTTGTCCTTGCTGGGGATCTCTTTGGACTGTACAGCAGTAAGGTGGCTAGCGAGCGGTGGGGAGAAAGGCCCTTTCCACGTGGGACAGACATTTAACACTTGACACAGAACGCGGGATTACAAAAAAAGGGTTCCCTGGAACACCAAAGCACAGACTCGGGAGCCAGAAGATTTAAGGTCATGCTGGGAGAGGCCTCAGAGTCCCTCTCTCCTAGGGCTTTTTCAAAGCAGTGTTGCAAACTTCACAACATTTCAAAACTGTCAGTCTGAAATCCCCATTTATTTGGGCTTTGTTCAACTTTCTCCCCTCGGCCAAATGGCTTCGTCCAAATCAGCATGAACAGAGGAAACATTTCAGCTGACCTGAATCTGAATTTTCCAGGGACAAAAACATTTGGTGCGGGTGCCCAAACGGGGGCACAGGTCCCGGCCCATGGAGCAGCTCCGGCAGGGAGGAACCAGCCTCGCGCCTCCATGGGAAGGAAAACTTATCCATTTGACTGCCGAAACTGGGCACAAGGCAATTACATGCCTCGCCAGCAGCTGGGCGGGAGTCTGGAAGCAAAGCCAGGCCCAGCTTCTAAAAACTCTGACTGCCTGTGCCCTTTTCTGCAGAAAACATGACAAAAAACTCCGTAGTGAAAACTTCTTCATACGAAGGCCATACCTGCCAAAAAGCAGACCCTCCAGAGCCCCGAGTGCAGCGACATCTTGATCTCCGTCGTCTGGTTTTGGGGCTGGACGATGCCTTCCTCCAGGTAGAGCCAGTAGTCGGTGCTGACGGAGATGCCCAGGAGACCCAGGCTGCAGACGGCGAAGACGCTGCTGAGCAGGGTGAGAGCCTTCCTGCCGCACGTGCTCATGCCGAGGCGCATCGGGGGCTGCGGCGCCAGGACGGGGTGCCTGGGGGCACAGGGGCCGGCATGGTTAGTAGCTACTGCCGGCTGCACCTCAACTATTTGCAACTTTGCTTTCTTGAGGAAATGCCAGTGTCGAAAGCTTTGCCCCTTCTCCCCTCCCCCCTGCACCCCCAATTGCTTATTTAGGTCAAGCTGAAATAAGCCATTAAAAAAATCACAGCAGGCCCTGACAGATGGAGAATTTGAACCAAATCCTACCTGACTGCTGCCCTGCTCCGGCCAAGTGCTCACGGACTTGCTGAACATGCCGCAGAGCATGTGAGAGCCAGCCCTGGAGACCCAGAGATGCGTCCTGGCCACTGAGCAGTTTATCTGCTCTGCTTTCATTTGTTTTACATGAATGCTTACTGCTTCACCCAAATCCAATACCTCATCTAGCTAAGGATTTAGCCAGCCAACTAACCACAGTATCTGGCTGCCTCAGCATCTTTTATCATCTAACGCTCGGGTGAGGTCAGCAGCGCCAGCGGTATCTCGCTGCTACAGGAAGGCACTGAGGTACGAGGACACCGAGCTCCCAGATCTACAGAAACACGTACGCACCAGTGAGCAGCAAGCACCAAAACACTTCTAATGCAGGCGGTGACATGCCCGTAGTCATGCAGACCCCTCAGTCTCCCAGGTGTGAAACCAGCCCCATAACAGAGGCTGGGGAGCTAGGGCTAGGGGACAACCGTGGCATACGCGTCCCGCTCGCCACACCTCTTGTCATCAGCACGTCCCACGCGGCGCTGCCTTCTTCCACTTCCAGCATAGACTTACCCCCGGGAGGTTCTGGGATTATTGAGAGATTCCTGCTTTGCCAAAAGCATGCTACACTTACACATACTAAATGACATCAGCAACAAATGAAAGGAGAGCAGCATGTGGCACACTGGTCTACCTTTTTTTTGCTCTTTCTTGTGCTTGCTGGAGCGCAGCCGTGCTGGGTTGCAAGTACCAGCATCAGCCAAACACAGACACTAAGTTGGTCCAACCTGAACTAGTACTTTGGTGGGAGACTGGGAAACGCGGGCCAAAGAACTGCAGTCAGGATCTGGGCAAACATTAAAGGTGGAAATTTAAAACCCCTTCACACCCCACGTTGCTTATGGATGGAACTTTTTTTTTTCTTTTATTTTTGCTAATCTGTAGAAGGTAGCAGTTCTCAGAGAGCCTCCCAGACTGATAAAGTGCTACCAGAAATGACAATTCTAGTGCAGCAGAGAAAAAGAACAATTAATATGAGGGGAAAAATGCCACAGAAATGAGAGGTTAAGAGGAGTAAGAGCAAGAAGAAAAAGATACGTGAGAGAGAGAGTCTTCTGGTGAGTGGGAATGAGGCGACAGCTCTGTTGACTGCTTTCATAAAGACAGTCTGAATCACAGATAAGTGCCGTGTCATGTTTATCTTCCAAGGTACATTTTGCTGTTGTTCAGCATTGCAGACAATGAGGGGAAAAAATATTCCAGCTAGACAACAAAGCTACCAAATTTAACATAGTAGCAGCAGGATGTACCTTCCTTGGCCTTCTTTTTAAATTACACAGGCCTTGTTCATGCTGTGTGAAGTTTCAAGGGACAAGAAATGGGAGACAAGTGAGGACCAGGCTCCAGACACGACCCAGCGTTTAGCTACTGTGCCGAACTGCGTGCTAAGGAAGGCAGAATCATCCTAAACAAACAGATGTGGTAACTTCATTTCATTTTAAACATCTATTCCCAAAATAATGACAGATAAACATAAGAGTGGTGGCGCATACGTCATACATCTCTCTGGGCGTCAGCTCATGCACTTACACAGGAATAACTCAATCACGTCTATATTCACACCCTGTATTTGTTGTTTCGGCCCAAGCTGGTGAAGGGACACTTTGGAGTACAGGTCTTGCTTCTGGCACTGCTCCAGTGAAAGACGATGAGAGTTAGTGGTTAGACCAGGAAACGCAACTCCTGCCTGGTCCAGGGGCTGACTGGGGCTTGCAGTTCAGAAAAGTTTGGGGGGGGGGGGCACACAGGAGGGGAAAGATTTTCTTCTTCCACCTCTGATGCAAATATTTTAATACTTGCTTACGGTGACTCTCAGAGATGCCAAAAACCCTCATAGCACGCCCTTTTACACTTGAAAGCCTCCAAAGAGAAACTTCCACCACAGGTTCCCTCGTGATTAATATAAGCAGATGATGCTCCGGTAGTTTTTTCTTGCCACTGAACAGCTTGCAAGGCAAGCTCTTTCAAAGGATATCTATAAAACGAATGCACACAACTAAGCTCCCCTACAGTCCTATCTTGGGATGATCTTGTAGCAGGTTTCATACAAGAATACTACGAGGGAGGCACACAGTTATTGTGGGGTCCAAACAACTGCATTTACTGAACAGATGCAGCACACAAAGCCTACCCGCACCTCCATCTTGCTGCTCTGGCTAGAGTCTAAGAGATGAAAACCAGTGAATGCTACTAGAAGACATGCAAATTATTTAGAGAGAGCGCGACACACACACACTTATTTTCCCCTACTAAACTGAGTACAAAGCAGTCAAGTACATCTTGTTAGGAAGCAGATGTACTTGCACCCTCAAATGCTGCAACAGCTATTACAATTCTCTTCCATATGAGATTAAGAATTTGGCTCTTCCCACTTCCACACCGAGCAGAGTTTTCCCAGAAGGCACCGACCTACAGGAAAGGGAAAGCTGTCACTTACAGACAGCCCAAGCAAATGCTCCATCTCATGCCATTGCAAGCTTTGCACTGTTGGCTTTGCTAAAGAGTCTTGTTTTTATGTTTTTATGTAATGGTTCCCTCAGGTCAAGACGACCAGGACATTAAGTATTCCCAGCAGTGATTCTAGGTATTTGCGTTCCGCTCACAGACAAGGGATAGGAAAGAGAGGACGTTGTTCTCAGGCAAGCACGGGGTAGAGGGTGAAACAGGGCCATGGGTGCTCCTATTGACCTAGGACCGTCAGTCACCACGCGAGATGATTGCATCTAAGCCAGGCACACGCTGCTGAGAACAGTGCAAGACACGCAGGAGATATTCCCCATTTTTTTTCCCTGAGGCATTACTAGGCAGCAGCTAAGAGTGGTAGTAAGCTAAGGTAAGCTAAAGAGTGGTAGTTACAGGGCAGAGAAGCACTTACTCCAAAGGCAGCACTGCATTTTAACAGTCCAGTAACAATGCTGAATTGTCTTAATATGTGGGGAGGGAACAAAATTGTACTTACTTTTACAGAGAACGTGCTATTCCCCAGCCCTTTAAAGATCCCTTTCGATCCTGCGATACGACCAGGCAAAGCACAGATCCTCTGACTCATCAGCTCTTCCCCTTAACTCACTCTGAGCATATTTTCTAGTTGCCGCAACTAAATGAACAGTGTTTACTACAGAACGTTTCATCCCTGATGGCATTTTGGTGCCAAAATGGTAAAAGGAGCTGGAACCAATTCCTGGCTCATGTATCATCAACAAAATTCCTTACTGCACATTTTTTGTTAATAAGGAGCCAAAAATCAAAGTAGGGACTATGTGAAAGTCCAGATAAAGCCATTCAGAGGAAAATAGCTAAGTATGTGACTCCCTGTGGTCTATTGTCTGTCAACACCCAGGGCTTAGAAAAAGATGCTGGTTTGGCATAATTTATATTGGTCACTGGGGCAACTCTAGCAGCAGGAAAAAAAGGGGTCAGGTATCAAAATCACACCTTTCAGTTGTCTCATTTCTTTTCTCGCTCACACTTTAATTTCCCTGTAATCACTTATTACTGCTGCACTGGAAAATAAAATCAAGTCTGACAAAGCAGGGCACTGGGATGCAGGGAGGATGCACAGCAGCTACTCAGAACAAAGCTTTTCTGAAGTCCGGTGCCTTAAGAATTAGCAGGGCTCCTAAGAGAAAGATTTTTCAAGGACATAGACAGGAGTGAGCTCGATTTACAGCAGAGATTTAGCCCCCACTAACCATTATGAATTGTGTTACGCTTCATACAGCTGAAAAGGTGAAGGCTGTCCGGTTTCCAACAGTATCTGAATGACAAATTAAACAAATACAGCCCCAAAGAATTCCAAGAAATAGGACCTTAGAACTGTTCCTGCTCCTTCAATCACATCGTGCCTTTCGGTAGCAGTGCAGGGAATAATAAGGGCAGTCTGCAATGTAATCTGCAGTCCTCATAATGAATTTCTTTTTGTCTTGGAGCCATAGCTTCTGACGGGAATTGAACATGCACCTCTCTAGGACTGACACGTTCAGAAACCGAAATGAATCTTGGCCTTGCTACCTTGCTACTAACCCACTTCACCCAGACTGAGGAGTGACTCGCAGCCTGTACTTACTGCTCCACGGTCACAAAAAGAAAACATTACCCTGGTCTGATTTTTAAGCCCACACCTCCGTGAGCTAACACAGAGCACAAGCCATCGCTCGAGGCTGTGTGGATGGGCTGAGAAAAATAAATATGTCACTGGCTGAACAGGATGAGTTGTATCAATAAATCACTGCTCCCGAGTTCAGTGGGAAACAACACTCCTTTTTACCCAGGGTAAGAGCAGAAAGAGCAGGGCTAAGCCAAGCAGAGGAGGCAGCTATTGATTTTCATGTTGCTAGAACACCACCGCCAATTTCCTGACGTTTGCGATGAGGGGAAGCACAGCCAAGGTTATCAGAGCAGACAAGAGGGAACATTTCATTTGCGGAGGGATGCTGGGATCCAGAACAAACGTGGCGGCCTGCCTCTGCAATTTTAAAAGCATCGTCCCTGCTGTAAAGCAAAGGCACAAGCAAATCACAGGTTAAGCCATGGAACTGAGGCAGTGGAAGAGACTAGGCAGAACAGAAAGAAAGAGGATGGAAGAACGGTGAAAAGGGGATATGAAACCTACTGAGTGAACTATCAGAGGTACAAAGAGCATCAGGGAACCGGGTAAGAGCCAGCAAATGCAAGAAGAGAGAATGAGCTGTGACGAAGCTAAACTGAAAGGATGAGCTCCCACTAAGCTGTGAC